TTGATATACACACACATTTGGGACAAAGCAATCAAAAGATGGAAATGAGAGTGTGTGTGGAGAGTGGATTGAAGAGAGTAATGATTGAGTGCATGTGTTTGAGAATATTTAAATGATGAAATCGAAATTATTTATCAGAATTAAATTTCGGTTAGGTCAGGTTGGACTGGCTAACAATCTCAAGGTAGCTGCTTTCAGTTTTAGACCGTTTTTAGTTGAAGTTAGGTTAGCCACCCACCGATCGTATCGATTTCACTCTTAGGCCTGACTAAAACTCATTGTGTTGCCACAAAACCTTGACCATCAGACTTCTTTATCCAGCCATTTTGATTATCTAATTAACCTCATGGTCCATGACTTTTACGTTGGCTATATTCGATAGACCACTCAGCAATAGGGTCGCGAAATTACAAAACCAAGCTGTGTCCAAAGCAATCAATCGCATAGGAGATGAGTGAGTGTTGATCCTCCTTCTCATCTTCCCTGCAGTAATTTTTATAAGGATACCCTAGTCTCTCCGCATCCGGACCGTCAGAGCTCCTATTACTTTGATTATGTCCTCCCTTTTTAAGCAGCACAAATCTCGTGATCTCTTCTTAACCCGTTTGGGTCAAGATTGCATGTCCGCCTTACAGTTTTATTCAATATCCCTGTGACGATGGACCCACGTGCGAGCCCATATTTAGAGGTTCTGATAAGAAAGCTAAATTATTTGGGCCCTACCACAAACAAGCAAATCTATAAATTTCTAGCAATGTAAAGAGAGCTCTTTTCCGAGGAATGCTTAGTTTGAGAATTCTTAGAAATACTCAGATATTGCGTATACGCACTGTCTGACTACTTTTAGTACTAGCAATTACTATTCATGACAGTTGTTAAGAAAAAACACAACCTAATAAATGAAGAAGACAAGTATTACGGCACACAAGAATATCTAGAACAGACATTAAAAGCTAGAATTTTTTGTATTTGTATACCAAAGAGACCGGGAATATTTGTTCAAACAACAACTCAAATTCAATATTTGCTTGAGAGAAAGAACCGAAGGACGACAAAAGTCGACCAGCAGATCAACAAAGAATCATAAAAAACTTTTCGTCTTTAAAAAATGACAAGTATCTTTTCCTCAGCATTTTTGTTGTTTTATTATCCACCTTTGCCTTATATCTGGTTCTTTTTACTCAATCTTCATTTTCCACTTAAATTTATTTATTGACTTAAGTTTCTTTCTCGCATCGTTCATTTTATAGTCCTTTGGCAGGACTGAAGCATGCAGGTAGGTTTGGGAAGAAAGAAAACTTTTTATTTTTATTTTGGCTTTCTTTTATTTATTGAATTCTCGTTGCTTTGTATTGAAAGCAAAATTAAATTCGGTCAAGTGCGGGTGGTTGGGTAATATACTGGCATGTGTATGGTCATGTCGACGAGTGTTAAATACATAAATATTATTTTCTTTGTTTAACCAAAATCGTGGTGGTAACGGAACATATGATGATGTATGTTTATTTCAATGTAAGTGTACGATATGGTTTTTTGCTGTTGTTAAAGATGAAAAATGTGGGTCAAAAAACAGAAATGAAATATAAATAATGTTGGTCAATGAAGAAGTAAAAGCAGTATCGAAGATTGCAAATAAAAATAATACGTTTTATATTATTTTATTTTCATTTATTTCACTTCATATCATATTACAAAATTTCTTTTATTTTATTATTTCTGTATTTATTTTATGTTATTGTATTTTATTTTTATTTATTTTATTTTATTTTATTCTATTTTATTTTATTTTATTTTATTTTATTTTATTTTATTTTATTTATTTTATTTTATTTTATTTTATTTTATTTTATTTTATTTTATTTTATTTTATTTTATTTTATTTTATTTTATTTTATTTTATTTTATTTTATTTTATTTNAAATTCATATTTGCAGGCTCTTTGGTTATACCTTTTTATTGCGCACTGTTACATGCTGGGCTGAGTCTCCTGCTGTTTTGCAAAAACGACACAAGAACAAAACGAATAATGCAAGCGAACTTCGAGTAGCAAACACTTGCACAAATCAACTTAAACACACACACGCATATACACGCACTCTAACAGCTGACGCCACAAATATTGCATTACATTCATATGATCCTTTTCAAGCAGCGCTTCCTTGCTGCTGCACCTCCCTCCCACTGCTGTGCCTTTGCTCCGGAAGCATAATCGTATTTCCTGTTATTGTCTGCAACGCTTGTCGAGTTACATTAATTGTCTCTCACACTTTGGCAATTTCTTCTGCGGATTTTTTTCTTTTGACTTTTTTAAATCGCCCCATGTGCACTCTCTCTCTCTCTCTCTCTCTCTCTTGATCACAGCAAGTGGTTTTGGTAATGCAATAATTTTAAATGTTCACACATTTTATGATTGCCTTGCATTCTCATATTCCTTACAATTACATACATACACGCACGCAATATTTTCACCATTTCTCTGTGTTAAGTCGTTGAAAGAATATTATTTGTGCAACAGCTGTTGGGAAGTGGCACTCGAAACGGTTAAGAATTGATGTAAACAGAAAAATACATATTTTAAAGGTAATGAAAAATAAAAAAGTGAATGAAACTTTAAGAGATTTGAAATTTTAACAAGGGTTTTCGTAATTTATTTAAATTAATTTTTATATATATTATTTAAGGAATAATGCAATCCTTTTATTTAATTTAATTTTATTTTATTTTATTTTATTTTATTTTATTTTATTTTTTTTATTTTATTTTATTTTATTTTATTTTATTTATATTTTTTTTTGCATTTTTTTGTATTGATTCATGTTTATTTTATTTTCATTTTATGTTTTTTATATTCCGATAACTGGCTTGTCGTGCTGTGAGTAATTCTGTAAAATGAAAATGCAGAATTAAATAAATTCAAGTCTGAAAATTCCCACACACTGCCATGACCAACCAAATTTAAAATGAAACCACGTGGGAGCACAGACAGCGTTCAAAATTCAAAGTTCATGACAGTTACCCAATGCTCAGTGCACTCTGACAGTTAACGAGAAACTTTTGCCGCCAATTGACAGTTCAGCAGTTTCTGGCTGAGCGGCATGCTTCAGAGAGAGGGGTAGAAGGGAGAAGATGCCACCCCAATCGAGGTGCGCGTAAACCACTTTAAAACAAACTTCCGGCGGTAAAACCTGGATTTTAATGGCGAAGGAATGAGAGAAATCATTAGAAGTAAGAGAGAATTTTGGGAGGAGAGAAAGAGGAATCATCGCAAATGACCAACAAGTTGGAATTTATTTAACTATTTTATATTTCGGTACATGGAAAGTAAATGTTGTTACATTAACGTCATTTCTATTACAACAACACTAAAAAAGGATGAGTAAAACTCTGCTTGGCATCATTTATCACGCTAACATGAAATAGAAGAGAAGGAGTGAGGGAGCGAGCATGGTGTTGTAAACGCATAGGACACGTGTGCCAGAGGTCAGAGGCTATATGTGAGAAGGCCGGGTGAAGCCAGAGCTTCTACTGACTCCGGTTGACTGGCAGTTGATTACGTGATCTGAAATTTAATATTTTCTCAGCACAAATACATACATATTTAATGTATTTTTACAGTTGAAATGAAATGCTTAAAAAAATGTAGAAAGCAACGAAATAAACAAATGAATCCATACATAAACAGAAATAATAAGAACTGACACCCGGAGACTACGAGGTAAGTTCAGTACGTACTACTAAAAGAACGCTGCGAAAAGAGAACAAATAACACAAAATATAATATTTGTAGTATGTGTAAGGCACGAAGAAGAAGAAGAAGCATTGACTATGTACGTATGTATGTGTGAACAATATAAAGGAAAAACATAAAAACACTATCGGAACAGAGGCATTCTGTTATATTATTCCAATGCAGGGTAACACAGTAGTGTTGGATGCAGACGAGCGCAAGCAGTTTGAAGGCAAAAGACGTTTGGCTCAAAGAGCTGCTTGTAAACAGGAAATGAAAATAAATGTAAACAAATGAAAGAAAAATAGAAGCAGAGTGCGTGACTGAGATGCGTAAGAAAAGTAGCCTTCAAGCGAGTATACAAAAATACACACAAACATATACGTAAGACATATGCGATTTATATGGCCTTGTATGTAAGCAGGCACTATCAGCAGCGCCAAAAGAAGAGTTCGGTGCAAATGGAAGTAACAGGGAAAAGATGAAGGGAATAACGAAACAAAACATCAAATAAATCAATATTATACACAATAGAATTAAATACAGTAAAATAAAATCAAATGAAACAAAAGAAATTAGAATTCAACAAAAAAAAAAAAAAATGAATAAAATAATATAAAATGAAATAAGTCGAAACAAAACAAAACAAAGTAAAATAGGTAAAAAAAAAATAAAATAAAATAAAATAAAATAAAATAAAATAAAATAAAATAAAATAAAATAAAATAAAATAAAATAAAATAAAATAAAATAAAGTAACAAGAATAGAACTAAAATTAAATTGAATAAACCAAAAAAAAATAATAAATAAACAAAATAATATAACTTTAAAATAAATAAGATGAATTAAAATAAAATTAAATTAAAAAATAAATTACAAAAAAATTGAAGTAAAATAAATTAAATAAAATGGCATTAATGTGAATTAAATTAAATTACATTAAATAAAAAACAATTAAAACAAAATTAAATTAAATAAAATGAAATGAAAGAAAATGTCACGAATAAAATATTAAAAAATATAATTAAATAAAATAAAATCAAATGGAAAGAAAAAAAATTAAATCGAATTAAGTTAAATTAAAAATTTAAATAAAAAAAAATTAAAAAATTGATTATATTAATGAATTATATATTATAAAATAAATTAAAATAAATTATTTAAATTTAAATGAAAAAAAAAATAAAGTAAAAAAATAAAATAATATGAGATTCAGGAAAAGAAAAGAATGAAATCAAATGGAAATAAAATTAATTAAAGTAAAATAAAACATTTAACTGTTTGAGTAATGAAAATCATTCATTTTTATAACAACATTTCATATCATATTTAATCGTGTATTTTTATCCTTAAATTATGCCCTCCAGTTGGCCCATTTCTTAATTTCCGCATACAAGTTATCACCGGGGCACTCAGTGGAGCCGACTTGACGATGTCCATACAGAATGTAACCAGATTTGATTTGACCACGTGAAACAGCATCAGCAAGCAAAGCCTTGGCGGCAGCGATTTGAGCAGCGGTGGGCACATTAGCTGAAGTAAATAATATACAAGGCAGCTGGTAATTACGCTATAAATCACTTAAGAAAAACCTCACTTCAACACTCACTATTGTAGTTGCCCATAAAAGAGATACCAACGGACTTGGAGTTCCAGTTGGTGGCATGAGCGCCCAATGTATTCCAACCGCGACCCTCGTACACTTGACCATCACCACCGATCAGGAAGTTATAACCAATATCAGCCCAACCCAAGGAGTCCATGTGATAATTCTGCATATTACGCATTTGTAGGGAGCAAGCAGCTTGGGTGGAGCAGTAGACGCCAGCAGTGTGATGAATAACGGCGTAGGATAAACCAGTTGCCAATGTAGATTTACTAGTCGCCGAGCGACCACCCCATTGTGCTCTTGAGATGATGTTCACACCGAAGACGGCGTTGGCACAGAGTAGCACAGTGATGAGTGTGAGGAAAGATTTGCACGACATAATGTTGATGGTTGGTTTGACCAGAGACCCAGAACTAATGTCTTATCGATGGACGGTGAAATTTGCTTTTATACCGCCCATGGCTATCAATGAAAAAACATTCGCGAAGTATTGTATATCACATTGATAATCGGCTTGCGAAAAGTGCAATAGCACATTAGATAATTTACGGTAAACAATATTGCCATCGCCTGGGAACTACATAAGTGGATTCGCGAAATGTTAATAAATCTACGTGGTTTTAGATTTCAGTCGATAACTGCAAGAACAGAGTAAATAAATATTGATTTTTGTTTAAATGAAATTATCTTCGCTTCGGCTTGGTAAGATCACCCCTGTTTGGAGAGAGAAACCGACAGCTGTCATCGCATGAGAATAAAAGAAGGGAACTGATAAAGTTAGTCGATTTCACCAAAATCATCAAACGGGCGACCCATGGAATAAATTGCTTCGTAGATCTTGGAGCAGGGTTGGAGGTCTTAGAAGTGGCGGGGTAAGGGGATATGCGATGAGTTGATTGGTGCTGTGCGAGGACTCTTTGCATGCCGGACATATGTATACTGAATATTTTGGGTCAAGTCTGGATACCTTGGAGTTGATTTTGTTCCCATATTCGCCATGGATATCACAGAGAAGCTTGAGCTGCTCATCGACAAGAGACATATATCAGCAGGGATGACCTAAACTTGGACCATGGATGTTCGAAGGTATGGCAACAAAAATAATTTATTCGTTGCAATCCTTAAGGCTGTGGTTCGGCAGGTCTAAGGTTTCCGGTCGCAATAGTCGAATAGTTAGCAGTGTGTACTACCATGCGAAAGGACGTGTTTTCAAGTCCAGCGCGATCATAGTCCCAAATTCCAGAAATCGAAGTCTGCACCTTAGTGACAATCGAGGTCGTAGACATAGTAAAGTCATACAGGCCTTAGAATGTTGCTTCTACAAACTTTTGGATTTTTGACCAACGAAATTTTCACGTGATCGGTATTCGGACTCAGATAAAAAGCTGATAAAAAGGGTCATCGTATCTTAAGAAGAAGAATTATCAAACTTGAGGCGGACCTTATGCGACCAAAAGAAGTGACTTTTCCGCGATCTTACCCCATTGCGGTCAATAAGTGAAGCGTTGAGAAAAGGTGCATACTCCATTTTCAAGAGAATCTCAGACAAAGCTCCGCTGGGAAAAGCTTCCGATAATACACAGCTTTCATGACATAACATAGTCAAGAGACTCCATTAATTCTCGAACATTCGTGGGAGTGATATATGCCAGATTTTTCAAAAGTGATGGGTAAGGCTTTCTAAGAATTGATTGTCTGAACAGCTTACAGGTTTATTTCCCGTTGTACTTGTTTTACATTATCAGTTTCCAGCAAAGTTCAGAAAAGATGATAATGACAAAGTTTCACCATAAAAAGCTTTAAAACCCAGCTTTCATTATATAAAGTCAAAAAGCTCATCTCAGCTTTCTAACCTAAGAGCTTAAAGATCATAAAAACTGTAAGTAAATCATTTCTCTGTAATATCAGCAAAAACCGTCGTCGCAATATTGATCCAAGCCCTTTCAGAAAAAAACTCCTAGTAAATAAGTACAAATACAATGCAGTGAAATCTTTTATACTCCTTTTCGAGGCAGACGTTTCAGTTGTTAATCAAAAGGTTCAGTCAATAGTATTTAAGCTCTCAATGCCCTTAAGTCGCTAAGAAACCCTTAGGCAAATATTGAAAGCAAAAATCGAACACCTGATGTGTTAACAACTGTGATGATTAGAAAATTTACGAGTATTGTAATGGAAGACTAGAATGTGCCCTTTGTGAGTAAAAGTAATGTTTTGTGATGCCAGACGAGTTGTCTGCACTTAATAATAGATCAAACATAACAAAAGCTTTGGGCTAGACACTATTCAAAGATTTGCTTTGAGCCCTCGTCACGCGTGTGCTATAAAACCAGACGCCCGAGCACTTAGCGAGACATAACTTAAATATTTGTCGTACTTACAACGTCGTTAAAATGTCTTACAACTCACCTTTCTTACTACTCACTGTGGGCGTACTCTGCCTGCACACTGTGGTCGGTGTGAATATCATCTCAAGAGCACAATGGGGTGCTCGTGCTCCTACTAGCACATCTTATTTGTCTAATGGCTTATCCATTGCTGTAATTCATCACACTGCTAGCGCCTATTGCTCCACCCAAGCTGATTGCTCCCAACAAGTCCGCAACATTCAAAAATATCACATGGACTCTTCGGGTTGGGACGACATTGGTTATAACTTCTTGATCGGTGGTGATGGGCAAGTGTATGAAGGACGCGGTTGGAATATAGTGGGTGCACATGTCACCAACCGGAACTCCAAGTCGATTGGCATCTCATTCATAGGCAACTACAACAGTAAGTCTGGAGTTTTTTCATTATTTTAACTTGTAACTTGTAATTTGTATTGTTGTTTCTGTTTTGCCAGACAATCGTCCGACTGCTGCTCAAATCAACGCTGCAAAGGCTTTGCTCGCTACCGCTGTCTCAAAGGGCCAACTCAAGTCGGATTACGCTCTCTATGGTCATCGCCATTTCAAGGCAACTGAGTGCCCTGGTAATAACCTGTATAACGAGATTAAGACGTGGCCACGCTTTAAGGTCTAGCACGTCTTGTGTAACACATAAAACTTAACCCGAGCCGCAGCATTAAATAAAAATCATTCAAAATTTACATGAAACAGTTTGAGTTTATTTATGTATATATTTGAAAGAGAAATCTCTGAGGGGTAGGGCTTAGTGAGAAATTCCATCAGCTGAGATTTTACTTTGGAAGGCAGAGCCTTTGCATGAGCCGTACTGAGTCACAAAATATCTGCAGTTACAGATGACAAAAATTCTGTGCAATGGACTTAGATCCATGGACGACAAACACTCAACTGCTACTTAAGAGTTCACAAAATACAGCGGAAGAGCTGAGAACCGGAGACGCGGCTGCTTAGGTCAATAATATCCAACTTATTTGCAATATTCTGGGTACTAAGTTCCGATTAGTCCCTTCACGGTGGACTCCAATCTTTTACACCGTTTCGGTAGCACCTAACAGCCTTATTGTGAACGCATCACTTAGTACTTCAGGTGATTTCTAATAGTACCCCACCTCAAATTTGTGATGGGCTTCTTGACGGGAATTACATTTTATTCTAAGATGGCTCCGAGCGGCTGAGGTTTTTCTTTATTTCATGCTATAAATACACTCGGAGGGGTGGCCGTTCCTTGCCGAGAGGAGACTGTAATTAACCATTTCTATTAGGTTAGATATTCGGCTGAACTAAATTAAATACCACAACCCTCGCCAAAGCAGCACTTAGACTTATGTCAGTAGTATTAACTCCCAAAGCCAATAAGACCTCATGTTCCTAAGCCTTTCGCCTCACTAGTTGAATTCTTAAAGCAACTACTTCTGTACAGAATTATTACCCCGATGCGGGAAGGACATAAGATGGCGTTCTCTACGCTACTGTAGAATTAAATGGTTAACTCACTACTGACGGGGACTGATCGGTGCCAATGACATTGCGGTAGTATTTGGGCGTAAGTTCCCACAAACTCAATACGACTTGAGGCAGAGAACTATTCGAAGAGTATGTACTTGGTCTAACTGTTGGTTACTCTGGCTACTCAACTCAATTGAAGTGGAACTCATTATGCTCCGGAGCAAAAATCAAACACCAAAGAAAATTACTGTTAGTGATGCACTCAAGTCCAAGTCAAATGAAACTTGGAAAGTAATCCTCAACATCTTACTGATGAAATTAAAAATTGTGCTGGACTAACCTCGATTCAGTTCAAATATCATTAAGGTCGGAACGACTCCAACCAGCAGCAAAACTCGTCGTATGCGTGTGAAACAATTCCGAGTTCCCATTGGTACGAAGAGTACACCACAAGGGCGACAAAAAATTCCTCTCATACAGAGAACCAAGAACCTACTTCCTGTATGAGTCGTTGAGATCGAGACGGGAAATTATTTAATTAAGTCTTTAAGTAATCGTGGAGTGCTTGGTTAGTAAGGTTTAGTGGTTATGACCACAACGTGGTGTAAAACCCTTCTCTGGCCTAAGAGCATTCATATGGGAAGATCAATATCGCTTCCACAATGTAACTGTGAGATACAATAGCTCCTCTCCGTTATTTTTCTTTCGACCTCACCATACCTCCGCGGAAATAATATTCTGGTTTCTTAGCTGACAGCAGCTCTCCTTATGCCCATTAGGAAGGATATTGATGACCTTTTTGCGAAAGTGAACTGCTATCTCGCCGACCTGTCCCACTTCTTCACTGTGGGACAACTTAAAATATAACAAACGAAATCCTCGGCTACCCTCTTCACCAGCAGGACGAAAGAATACAGGCTCGAATTAGATGTGAACGTTGATGACGTGAAAAAGACGACCGTAAAACATCCCAACTTTTTCAGAGTCCGCATACGATCGTAATTGCGGCAAGACTCCTAGCCGGCAGCACTTGGGGAAAAGTTAAAGAAATCTTGTTGGCAAAGAATATTTTTCTAATTGTTGTTTATCATCAAAAAATAACTTGTTTTACTGAAAGCTCTTACTACAGTGGCACTGAAACTGTGATCAGAAATAGTAAATTACCTGCTATAAAGGATTATGGATTAAAACTAAAATCTTCCCGCTATTTCTAAGCTTTTTTTATGGCGTCTCGTTTAACAGTTGTGCATTTCCTTTTAAAAAGCTTTATTCTTCGTTGAACTCGATATTTCTCTGAGCTTTTGCATTATAGTCAAATTTCATATACATTCTTGGGGAAAATAATTGAAGCGACTAATTGACATTATATTTATTGAAGTTAGGGCTCCCAACACCTTACGGAATGCGTGAGCCACTGTGATAAGCTCAGTCGTACAGTCGAAAAAACATGTTCCGAGAAAGTGGTGTCACATGGTGCTCAATACTGGGCAATGAAATTGGTCTACAGATTCCCCTACCTCCACGTCGCTGCACTTTAAGCGTGGTAAGGTTCAATTTGAGAGATCTGATGGTTACTGGCGTATTTTGAATAAACCAGATTGTAGTAGGTTTTTGTTTAGCAAACCTTGCAAGTGGTCCTTTGGTCTCATGTTCAAATTGATTGACCGTGACGTGAAATAGATCCCGCTCTCAATCGTGTTATTGAGTTTTCAGCCGTCCGTAAATACTCAGCAATCTTTACAGGAAGGAGGGGATCGGTACAAAGTTTAGTTTGTACACCTTTCTGTAGACTAGATTTGGACTGAACTTCTGCAAAAGGTGTTTCTTCGTAATTACCATTTAAATTAAGGTATCTGAAGATCTAACCCGCCTCCGAGAGCATTTGGAAACAAGAATTTGCGTGGAAGATAGTATCTAAAGCTGAGCGATGGACTATGTTAGCATATTTAGTGAATACGATCATGCTTCCTTGCCCTTAAGAGGAAATGCCGTAATGAAGAGAAAAGAGAGTTCATTAGGAATAGTAATCCTAATCCTAATCCTAAAAATACATTAATACTGGTACAGCCAGGGTCTAAGAAGGAGGGAGCCTCAACTAAATAATAGTGCTCTCAATCATCAAGGCTAAATCCCATTGCACACACTTGAGTAGACCAGATTCGAGTCAGAATTCCACAAAACATTTGAGCAAACTTCGATGCACCAAATAAGTGAGGAGATTGCTAGGTCTTGGTATTTTTTTTTAATAGAAATATAGGTTAGTATATAGTTTAAAGACTTACCCAACTCCGAACGCATTTAGAGAAAGTTTAGTTTTTAATCGGGACTTAACTAGAACTCTTGAGCCTCAACAACTTCACCACAAATTCTGCAAACTCAATTTTCCATAAAACATGCGGGAGTTTGTTTCAAAAGTTCATGTGATCGTATGACGGGGATTGGTATAAAGCACGAACTCGTAACATTAGGGACACACATACATAGTTTGGAGGTAGATTGCAGACGGACTTCCGCCTTTGTATGGGTCTTAAAAGAGGAGTATTAGAGGGTCCTTGCAAATACTCTCCCTGATGGAAAACAGAAACCCGCCAGCTTTAAGAACAGGCAGTATTTTTTTTTTTTTACAGACAAAGAAGTAGATCCTCAGAAATAGTACCTTCTCCATTGACGCACAATCGATGCCTTCTGTTTCGGAACTAAGAAATGAAATGAATGAAAAGAAATTTTGGCCGGGAACTGATTTCGGAAATATATTAACAAATTTTCACCTCCTTAACAGAGGCAACACTAAACGGTCACTATTGTGATTCTCCATGAAGAATATGCTAAGAGAGATGACATTCCATTGGTGGCATGAACATCCATCGAATTCCAGCCACGACCTTCATAAACTTGGCCATCACCACCGCTCAATATCAGCCCAATCCAAGGTGTCCATTTGATAGCTATGTATATTACGCATCATTTGTGAGAAGGCAGGTATTCCAACTCAATTCAAGGTTAAGTAGGCATCGCGCAGAATGTATATGCCTTTTCCGAAATTTCTTTTAATCCTCTGGATAGAGAAGCTCATAGATATTTGATGCCATAAATGCCGTATTTTAGATCAGGCAGAAAAACGGATATTCCAACATCTCACCAATGCCAGGTTTCGCAAACTTCCTGCATGTGTTACTGCTAGTACAGCCCATTCTGCTCGCGTTGGTTGTGACATGTCATTTGACCTACAGGTGTACGGCAATGGCTTGGAGATGGCATAAAATTGCACATGATTTTAAGCCGTAAAGGCATTCCAACCCACCCTCAAGCGTCTTGCAGCTCTCTCGGAAATATCATTGTAAAGATTCTTTGGCGTTTTTTATTTCATATACTGGTTTGGGTAGCAGCCGAAGCTTTAAATCAACCACCTTATCCACTATCTCCCTGCTTCTAATGAAGATCTGGACCAGGAAAATATTGCAATATTCTGGAAGCTAGATGGGTTGTCTAAGATCTTAGAAGAAGAGTTTATCGAGTCGTTTTGTCCGCTCCAATGGTTTTCTTTATAAAATTTTGTTGACGAAAAGCACCATAGATTATGACTGGCGTGACGACTGAATACATGTTTAAAGGACACTTCATTGCGTGCTCCACAATGAGCTTCCACAACAGCGGCGGTACTTGACATGCTACTTAATTTTTGGTATCTACCAGTTGGGATTGTGCAGGTCACCAAGCTCCACCTGACATACCTGGTAAGAAAAACCGCACCCGTTCTAACGACATTTAAGGGGTAACAACATAATCATCCCTTCCCCATCCCTGTGGAGTCCGGTTTGAGACCACGTTTCTGGATTGAGACAGAGCTCTACAGAGGCGACTTTGTAATTTTAAGGTGGTCTCCAGAATCTTTCTCCTGCCCGTGTTTCTTCAACGTGTTTACTTTATCGTTAGACGTTCTGCGCTAATTGAGGCTAATGTACCTGGTGTATAAGTAGTCCACTGCCATCGTGTTTATCGCACTGTGTGGTAGGGGTTCGGGCATGCCTGACGTGAGAGGCGATTAAAATACAATTGACCGGGCGACAGTCTTTATACCAGAACGACTTGGATTTTTATACGACCAAGCACTGTAACTCCGGCAGCACTCCCCACAAACTACTTTAGGGAAATAAGGGTAGGATATGGCTGCGGTAGCCAAGTTGTTAGCTTGCGTACCGACATTCGTCTCGGGCTTGGGTTCTTTTACCGGTGCCACCAGCATCCAAAAGTTATGGAATGTTAATTTAAATAAATTAAAAAAAAATAATAAGTTAAATTTTCTAATTGCGGTCACCCCTCGGCAGGGAATGTCCGCCCCTCCGAGTGTATTTCGGACACGAAAAAAAGGCTTCTCGTAAAAAAAAACGTCAGCCGTTCAGAAGCGGCTTAGTATAAACTGTAGGTCCCTCCAATTGTTGGAAAAAAATCAAGACGCAAAAGCACAAATTGGAGGAGGAGCTCGGCCGAAAAATCACTTCAGCGGTTACAAAGCGCCAAATAGTTCCCGACAAAATACATAAATTATTGCAAAAAACCCCAAGAACAAAAATTAACAAGATGTATGTATGTATATTTTTCAGGTTTTTTATTTTTATTTTACCACAAGTGTAAGCAAACCACTGCACTATAGACAGTTGGCGCTTACTACATGACAAATAATCGTGTATCAATCGTAAACTACCGTTATTCGAATATTATTTAATATTCGCTTTCTTACATCTTTCTATGTATGTATGTATATATATATATATATATGTATGTGTTTTTCTTCAGTTAGTTATCGTATTTTAATACATATATTTAATATTATACTAGATAATAAACTATAATATAATATATTGTATATGTATGTGTGTGTGTGTGTGTGTGTATGTGTGCATATATATAATTATTTAATTGTAACATTTCATTTTAATTAAATATTTTTTTTTTAATTAATTATTAATTATTATTATGCCGAAAAAGTCTTATAAGTTATTTAAAAAATACTATAAATTAAAAACTAAAGAAAAACATATATGTATGCATGTATATATGTATTTTGATTGATTGAGACAAAATTAAAATAAAAATTAAATTTAAGAAAATTTAAACAAAAACTAGTTTCGAATTATTAATGAAACGAAAAACTAAAATTAAGTAAAATTAATATAAATTAAATATTATTAAATACAAAAAAATTCAGCAATACAATTTTATGCATCTAAGCATATTTATGTTCCAACAAAAAATTATTATGTATGTAAATATTCAATTTTTTTTTATTTATGCATTAATAATTGTGCGATAGAGCTAAGAAGTGCAAATAATGAAATTAAAACAGTATTTTTTTTTTTGTTTTTAGTTGTTTTTTCAATATGCTTTTGTTGTGTTTTTCGCTACTTTGTTTTTTTAGTGTGTGTTTTATATATAAGGTTGTCAAATATCTCACCTCCGCTTTTTTGTCTTTTGAATGTCGCGCCAAGTGATTACCACCTGTTCCTGTCCATGGCGAATGCCCTTGGTGGTGTGAAATTGAACTCAAGAGAGGCTTGTGAAAAGTGGCTGTCCGAATTCTGCGCAAATAAGGAGGGGGTTTTATGAAGTTGCCGTCTTGATGGAAACAGATCATCGAACAAAACAGCGCATATTTTAACTAAATCCGATCACTGTAACACTTTTTATAAAGCATTGAATGAAGCGCAAAAAAGCGGTAGGGAGATATTTGACAACCTTATATATGTATATGTATGCTTATTTTGGACCATCTCATTTTTTTCATTTTTTTTTTTATAAAAACTTCATACATTCTTCTCTGCGCTTTTATCGCTATTTTCACAGTTTTAGTTTAGTGCATAGGTTTTTTATTTATTACAATTTTTGCCTCTAATTGTCTATGGGTGTGTGTGTGTGTGTGTGTTTTGATAGTTGTTTGGCCACACATGTTTGCATGTTTTTTTCTTATTAATTACTTTTCACTGCTAAACGTCATACTTTTAGTCTGCATTTTAGTTTTTAGTCTGATTTTTTTTGGTATAAATTTCTATTGCATACACATTTCATACATACATATACATATGTTGTATCGCCTCTATCTTGTTGACGCTTTAAAACCGCTAAGTAGTAGCTTGCTTATAAAATTTACTTTCAATTTCATCACTTTTTTTGCATTCATATAAAATTATTGGTATATTTTTTTACAATTTTTGGAATTTTACCGTGTAGCATGTTATTTAATATACAAACATTCAGAGCGAAAATTTTGTAGTTTTTTGTTTTTTTTTTTTTGCTATTTATGTGTATTTTTTCTCAGCTTTTTTATAGCACTTGATATTGTAGTTTCTGGTTAAGTGTTAAATTTTTAACAAATAATTTATTTTTTAGTATTTTTTTTTTTAGTTACATAAATATTGGTTATGCACAGTTTTCCTCATTCAAAACCAGCAGAAATGCATTAGCAGTCGGTAAAAATATCTACGCCTTCATTAACACACCCTTCTGCACTCAAATTCAAATGTGCCGAAACCAAAGCTTGTTGTTGGCTTTATTTTTCTGACAAAACTACAAATTTGAATTTGATTCAACAACCTTATTAAAATATGTATGTAGCGCAAGACAGTGCGTTTAATTCATATAGAAACAAAAAAAAAACAAAAATTATCTCTTCAATCTCTCTCAAATGCGCGTAAACAAAAGTTACAGCAGAATTTCAAATGTAAAGTCGCACCTCAGCACTAGTCTTTAGGTAGACAAAAACTGCAACGCTTCAACCTTATTGGCCCGCAATACAAACTAACTTCCTTCCTGCCACCTACCCACCAACTTAAGCCTGACTCTCATTACTATTGTCAGCCGCACGCTGTGCAGCCGTTTGTGGCGTTTGCACATTACCACTTATGAGACCAGCATTGACATTCGGATATGGCGGTGGTGGTGTCACTTGACCACCACTAACCTGTTCAGCGCCTGCAGCAACAGCAGCAACAACATCAGCACTAGCAGCAGCAACTTCACCCTCAACGCCTGCCTCAATGCGTCTCATTGGCGGCGTATTGGCATTCACATGTACAGTGTTATTATTATTCGGCGCATCATTATTATTGTCCAAAGTATCATCGATGGTTACAACTGCCGCACCGGCTGCTATAGCAGGCTCATTGTTGGCATTATCCATCTCAGCTTCGACATGTTGATAATTAGCCATGACCGCTTGATAGGATGGTGGTGGCGCTTGTTTCATGTACTGAGCTAAAGCTTCATCGTAATTTGGCAAGAGTGTTGAGTAGGGACGTTCCTCGCCCGTCATGCCAACACCACCCAATTCGGGTAGGACACAGGGTAGCAGTGTACGTATATTTTGTTGACGCAATGTAAGATATTTATAACAACGCCATACGATACCAATGGCGTAAGCTTTGGCGAATACAATGAAAACGAATACAACCAAAACGACAACCATCAATTCCTCTTGCGACAATTCGAGCAACTTCTCGCGCCAGGGTAAGCGTCGTGATTCGGCAATTAGATGATGTATGGCTTTCAGGTAGCAGATATAACCGGCTGCGGTGAGACTGTGTTGTGAAGAAGTTAAGTGAATTTTTTTTTAATATGCCTATGCTAATTAAATACATTTCATTTTATGTGTGAAAAAAAAAGAAACTCACGTTGTGATGGCAAAATCGAATAGTTGTAAGCAGAAAAACGGCAAAAGATGTGAGGGTTTACCCTTCAAAGCGCCATAGAGCATCATAAGTGTGATGGCTATCATGCAGGTGCAGACTAAGCCGCCCATGTCAAAGTTATCTGATATAAGAAGGAAAAACATTTGAATACGTCAACATGAAGATTCCAAAAATATGATTTCACTTACGATATCGTTTGTTATAGTTGAGCGTCTCGCGATATGGATATGGTGGTTCTACCTTGCTGAGAGGTGTGGGCAATGGTGGCGCATTCATATCGACAGTGTAATCGTAACCACTCTCGAGCTCCTCCATCATATGTGGACTGCGCCATATTATAGCGAGTAGACTGAGTGCTAATATATTCAAAAACTGCAAAATATAATGAGATATAAATATTATATAATGCGCCATAATTTCAACTAAAAAAATTAAAAAAGAAATATTGGAGAGTTTCAAAAATCCACTTGATATACTAAAATAAGATTTAGAAATAAAAAAAAATGTTTGGAGAGTTTCAAATATCCAATAAAATTACTGAAACTAGTTAATATTTCTTATAATTGAAATTAAGTTTTTAACTAGTACCCAAAAACTTCCAAATAAAAAATAAAAAATTTGTAGGACTTCAAAAATTTACGCAAGATATTTAATATTCCATTGAAAATAGTTTAAATTCTATACATATTAAACAAAGAAGTAGAAGCCAATAATTTAAATATTAAAAAAATATATATTTTTTGGAGAGTTTCAAAAATACACTCACAATATTAAAATTAATTGAAACTACAATAGTGAAGATTGTGTAAAAACACATTCAATAAAGTTATTCAAAAAGTACGCAAAAACTAAGAAATAAGCAAAACAATTTGGACATTTTTATAAATTTAGCCAAATTGCTATAAAATTGAAAATGGTTTACAATTTCTCGCATTTTTTCAGAACGTTCTTAAAAATTAAAACTTTCAATTTGCAGAGCCTTCCTTGATTACAAACTTCAATAACATAACTCAAAAAACTCATGAAAAATTCCGATGCTCACGCATAAAACTCCAAAGAAAGACTACATTTTCAAAACTGTATTTTAGAGGTCTTAACTATACTTCTAAAACTTAAATTCTGCTTAAAAGCTTTTTAAAGTCACAATGCAGCCTGTTCAAGCACATAAAAATCTCTACATTTTTTTGGAGAGTTTTAAAAATGTACACAGAGTATTTAAATTAATTGAAATGGATTTAAATCTCTTACATATTGAATGAAGTTATATGGGTAAATTGTCCAGAATTTACAAAATGGCCCAGTAAAACCAAATCTCGGTACAATGGTTCAAATTTTATTCCTTTATTTTTCAAATTAAAAAAAGAGTTAATGCTCTAAGCATTTGAAAACCATTTATTCTTTCGCTAGCTCATAAAAGTAGCTCAAAAGCACATAATAATTTGCGATTATTCACTTGGAACATTTAAAGTAGCTCCGAAAAAACTCTACATATCCGAAAAGGATTTTAAAAGCCTTGTGTGCTATGCTACTAAGATTTTGACTCGCTCAAAACCATTATGATAACGAAATGCGGCCTTTTAAAAACTCTACACTTTGTGGAGAGTTTCGAAAATTTATTAAGAATACTAAAATTAATTTTTAAAAGCTTAGATTTTTACATTTAAAACAAATCTATTAATGCAGCTTCACAGAATTTACAAAACAGTTACGTTTTCGTGCAAATAATTTGAATTTCTAAACACTTTCAATTAGAAAATTCTGAATTTTCGAAATTGCCGTTTGTAAAACATTTATTCTTTTTTCAAATTCAGGTTTATAAACAGCTCAAAAGCATATATAATATAATTTGAGATATGCGCACATTAAACGTTTTAATAAAATCGGAATAAAGGCGCTTGAAAATGTATTTCAGTGGCTTAAATTATGTTTTAGAATCTTTAATATAGCACAAAAATATTATTAATATTATAAATATGCTTTGTTAAAATCTCTTCACTTTTTGGAGAGTTTTATATGTATGGTTAAAAAACTGTGCATCCAGTTAATAAACTCTCCACACGTGAGTTTGAGAAAAGAGACAACAGTAAACTGTACTTGAACCAATAAACAGCTTTTTTTTGGTACTCAAATAAAGCTAATTGAAAGCAAACTCCAAAAAGGGTGCGTCCAATGCCAAACCAACAAACTTTTTAAAGCGATTTATAAAAATTAATATAAAAAGCTATTTATTTATAAGACAAATACACTAAAAAGGGTGGAACACGTTTTAAGCCCGCGTTAAAAACAGAAAAATCAAACAGTCGCGCACAAAAAGCAACAAAAAAATAATAATAAATAAACATAAATATATACAAATTGACTATTTTTGACGACTGATGCTAAATTGGGTATTGTAATGCTAAATTTAAGTGGAAATGTCTGTATGTATGTTAGTGGAAGCATTTCTTACGACTTTGATCTATCGAATCTACGAAATATCGCTTTATATATACAAATGTATATGTAAGCGATGCCGAAAATAGAACGAAGGCTCAAGCTAAATATTGCTCAATACAAAAAAAAATAATTCGCACACATACATATATGAGCATACAAGCATATACACATACATAAATATGTTAGGTATATCTACGAATTGGGATGAAACTCAATGAAGCTTATAAAGTCAATATAGACGAGCGCAAGCGCGGACACATTGTTTACCTTGGTCGTATTGAATTACATACATACATTAGCGTACAAATTACTGTAGGCATTTGTTTACATTTTCGATTTAACTAATTTAGTGTTTTTGTTAGTAAATTTATATATTTTTCTTACGCTTTAGACAGCAATTATTAGGAGAAGGAAATTGAATGAGTAGCACAAGCATTGATTAAAAAAAGAAAAAGTTGAATGCCAAAAGCCGGAAAAGCGACATGTAACCGATTAACGCTATTTAAAAGTTAATGTTTTATAAGAAAATAAAATAATTGTAAAAAATACAAATCAAATGCGCGTGTGATATTCGAAGCGTGCTACGTCGGTCCACTGAGTGAATAAGCAATATTTATTGCCTTTCACTGAAATCATACTTTTGACCGCGCGTGGCAAGAAATTTAAAGATGGGATTATATATACAGTTACAAAGCTATGTATCGTGCTTTGAATTACACAAAAAATTTTGATATGTTCTCTTCACTTCATTTATTTTGAACGCAACTGTTTTATATTGGCTCTTGGAGTTGTGCATGTAAAGTTTGAGAAGCACTGTTAACAAATAGTGGTGTAACCTTCAAACAACTTTTTTCTAATATTTTTCGTATTTTCAAAATAAAACATAAACAAAATGAAAGAAATTTGCTTAATTTGCTTAATTTGTTTACATTTTTTTACACAATTTTGCAAATTTTCTCTATTCAATCAATTTATTTTGATTTGCCATATATTGATTTCGCCCTTGTTTTGAAAGTCAATGTTTGCTCTTAGGTTTATGCCTGTAAAGTTTGAAGAGCGCTGATAAAAGTAGTGCTTAACCTTCAAACAGCTGATGCCTATTAATTTTCATATTTTATTCAATTACCAAGTAAAATAAAAAAGCAAAGTAGTAAAAAAATATTCTTATATTGCTGGAATTTAATAAAAAAAAAGTACCGCAGCATATTACAACATTAGATTTATAGAGCTAATGATAAAAAAAAAACAAATATTGATAAACAAAAAAGCAGGCCCCACGGTAGCAGCCGATAAAGAAGATATTGAATTATTAAACCCAGCGGACTAGGTGCTCAAGAATTTACCAGTTGTAAGGCATGCTTATCGTACGAGGCGTCTTAAGTCCCATAGTTTTCGCGACAGTGGGATCTTTATACCAAAGCGACACGGGCTTTGTTTCCGGCCAAGGACTGTCACTGCCGCAATATTCCACGAAACCCAATTTGGGAATTATTCTTGCGGTTACTACACAACAACAACAGCAACAATATATTGAATTATCATCCTAAAAGACAGTAATAAGTTCCGAATGAGGTAGTTTTTGGGTACAATAACTTCACCACAGCCTCCAAAGAACATTAATGAGTGCTAAGTGCAGCTTTTTCCGGTTATGTTACAACAATCACATCATGTATATAGTCGCAGTATGGCATGTGCAAACATTATATACATACCTACTTATCTCTGCAATATATAGACTGACAGGTGCGCTTATCACTAATACAATATTAGTTTTTGCAAATATTTATTTGCCTGCATTTTCCTACATAATGTCCTATGAATGTATGTATTTCCTTTCAGCTAACACTAATCATGTATGTAGCAAGTCAACTGGAGACGCTGATTAGGTATGCAGTTATAATAAAGAAAACAGCATTTGAAACCAAAATATAAATTCTTGAAAACCAGAACAAAAAACCTACACTATATCTATACATATGTACAAAAGCTATGAGAAATACTAAAATTTATAAAATTGTCGACCAGTTGCTATGTACATTCAAATGTATGTATGCATGAGTTTTTATATCAAGCTTGCCCTAAAAGTCGAGTCGCAAATACAAACGTACGCTCCTGCCTTATGCGTCTGGTGAGAATTTGAAACCGCGGCCGTACAGTTAATTTAATTTTTTATATCAACACTGGGTTAATGTACGCAAAAAAAAAAATATTTATAAATACCCATAAATGAATTTCTCCAAGCGAATTGTGGTGTATAATTACATTGACGTAAATTATTTTAACAAAAATTTACATACCTACATGTAATTTAATTTATCAACGCATCTGGTCAAATAATTTGCTACAATGGATTTTTTCGTTTTTTTTTTTATTGTTTTTTATATTTTATTTACATTTTAAATTTAATATTTTTCCTACTTTTGCTTTTTTTCTTTGTTAATCTTTTTTTATTTCTATATATTTTTTCATTTTCTATTTTCATATTTTTTATATTATTTTATATTTATTATGGGTTTTATTTATTTATTTTCTTTTAATTTTTGATATTTTTTTATTCATATTTTATTTTCTTTTATGTTTTTTTAAATAATATTTATTTTCAATTCTCTTATTTTTTATCTCTCCTTAAATTATTTATATTTTTTTTAATTAGTTTATTTTTATATTTTTTTATAACTTTTTTATACGTTTTTTAAATTTTTTAATATTATTTTTCATATTTTTTATATAATTTTTTTTTTTATATATATTTTATATATTTTCTATATTTTTTTATATATTTTTTATATATTTTTTTATATATTTTTTATATATTTTATATATTTTTTATATTTTTTATTTATTTTTTGTATATTTATTTAATTAATTTTTATATTTTTTTATATATTTTTTATATATTTTTTATTTAATTTTTGTATATTTTTTTCATTAATTTTTATATTTTTTTATTTAACTTTTGTATATTTTTTATTTAATTTTTGTATATTTTTTATTTTTTTATATAATTTTTGTATATTTTTTATATTTTTTTTTTAATTTTTGTATATTTTTTTTATATTTAATTTTTGCATATTTTTTATATTCTTTTTTTAATTTTTGCATATTTTTTATATTTTTTTTTTTTAATTTTTGTATATTTTTTTTATTTAATTTTTGTATATTTTTTATATTTTTTTAATTTAATTTCTGTACATTTCTTATATTTTTTTATTTAATTTCTGTACATTTCTTATATTTTTTTATTTAATTTCTGTACATTTCTTATATTTTTTTTTCTTTTTAATATTTTTTTAATTTATTTATATAATATTTTTTATACTATTTTATATTGTTTTATATTTTTTTTGTATTTTTTTGTATTTTTTTATATTTTTTATATTTTATATATTTTTTAATTAATATATTTTTAATTTTTCTATACTTTTTTATTTATTTTTTATATTTTTTATACTTTTATATTTTTTTATATATTATTTTATTGTTTTATACACTATTTAATTTTTTATCTATTATTTTTTTTTATTTATGATTTAATTTTTTATTATTATTATTTTATATTTTTATTTATTTGTCTTTTTTTTATATAATATTTTTTTATTATTATTTTTTTTTTATATGTATAAACATAATATTTATAAATCATAAATTAACCAAATATTTTTCTTACTGCTCTTTAGATTGAGGCGAACGAAACCACAAAAAAAATTATCAGCAGCTATAAATGGGTTTTCCTAATTTTTAATCACAAATTCTCTACATTAAATGTTTTCCCATGCCGAGGGGATAGAATTTTAAAAGTAAAAAAATACTTTATACTCATTGGAGGCTTATAAAACTCGTTTCAAGTATCATAATCTCTAAACTTTTGAGAACTTTTAGTGAGTAGTGAGTGAGTGGAAAATTACAATTCCAATTGGAGAAAAGACAAATTTTATATGTCTAATAAATGAATAAAATAAACTTACACTTTCTAAATTTCGGAAATTGTTTGGTGTCACTGGAAAACTGGCATATTCATTTGAATATATTTTATGAAACTCATAAATTTTGCTCTGATCATATGAAAAGATCTGTTTCACACTTACAAATATGGCCAATCGTTTATCTCAACGAAAAAACTCATAGTGCAGCGACAGTTATAGCATATATATAATTACTACAGTGTAGAGATAAGAATTTGAAAACAAGCAGCATTTGAACAATGCCTATCATATATTGTACCATACAAAACACTGTATAAATAGACATTGGACAAAAGTACACTTACACACTGTTAACATACATACATACATACAAATATATACCAATAACAAAAACAGCGTCAATAAAGAGCCACTCAGCTGTTTAATCACTACAATGCTTAGTAAGCATTATATATTTACATATATGTAATTGCGATACAATGAGGCTTGCCAGTATGTACATATGTATGTATGTATTTGCTTGTTTGAAAGCCATGCACAAGTACTTATCACAAAATCCACAATAAAAGAGGTTCACCCAATAATGGTACAGTATAATTTATATATATATATATACACACACACACATAAGTGTACAAAGCTTGGTTACACAGTGTACGTTTAACGTAAGTTTATATGAGTAAATGTCTAATGTAGCGCTACTGTATTATATAATCCAAATGGTACAGCATTAAAAATAATAATAATAGTATAAAGGTAAAAAATTAAAAAAAAAAACAACAACAACCAACAACTTCAAGAGACTTTGTACCGCTGCAAAGATTTCAATTCCTGCTTATAAATAATACAGTATACACGTAACTAATGCTAAACAAAAAAAGGTTATCGCTTAAGCCGTACGCGGTATTTTTGTTTTTGTTTCTCTTTTAAAGCTACCTTGAAAATATTAAAAATAAATATATATGTATTTTTATTTATTTCTGCCTTAACATTTAGAATTTAGAGACTAAGTACCTATGTGTGTATGTGTATGTATTGAAAACGTTACACTTAGCTTGAAATAAGTGCAAGTTTGATGACTTATACATATGTATATACATGCATATGTAGCATAGCTTAATAAGGTGTCTCTTATCTGATGAGTCATCGCCATAAAAATATTTAATTGTATATTTTATGACAAATAAGAAATCTGTTGATTATAAATCACTTCATACAGGCACTTAGTTCCGAATTTATTTGTTTAATAATATTTATTGTATTTGTTTTCATCACAAAAGTGCATAGACTTCAACGCCATTTTGACTGTAAAGAGCGCTCTAAGATTAAACTGCGTGGATTTAAAGAAAAGAATAAACTTCAGTTTAACATGTGCACGTATGCAATAATATATGCATACCATCATACATAAAAATGTACATACAAACATTATACGAGTTATAAGTCATGACGAGCAGCATTTTGAAACGTGAACCAGCTATTAAACCGTAATGACTTAAGAAAATAAACAAATATGGGTTGATAGGTACTGGAAAAAGCCAAAAATACAAAATTCATACATCAAACATACACACGTTCATGCTTTAAAATTATCTGCACGCTTAGTGGACGAAGTTTTAATACTCATACGCCTTAAAGCCAAGACATGCCGTCAACTTTGTCACCAGTGTTTTGAATATCAGCAAAATTTATTAGGCGTGTTAAATGGCATTGCTTTCTGTTGATTTCTCTTGGTTGTCTTTTTATTTTTTACAGTACTTAGTACTAGTAAGTAAGTGTGAGTATAAGAATCGTAAAAACTTTCAACATCATTTTGAAGCTTTCTCTGGTATTATAAAAAGGCACCCAGCACTATTCAAAGTTTTATCAGAACTTTTACTTCATCAACACTCGGAATTTTAGCTCAATTGTTTTCATATCTTTTTATATTTACCATCATTCTTGCAAACTGTCAATTTCATCTTAATTTTTATTATCTACTGAAAACTAGTGATTGAGTTGTTCCTCCCTAATTGTTTGCAAAATCTTTATTGTAGTGCACAAATGTGCAAACATACGTTTTTTATATAGTTTCCAAAGCAGTCGTTTTGTTTGCCTACCTTTTAAAAGGAAATATATGTATGTGCATGCGTACATCTGCCACCGGTAAGAAAATCAAACCAAAGTAAACACATGACCACTCCACCACTTAAATTGCTTCCAACTTAAAGGCTATGCTTAGATAACTACATATTTACATGCACTTATTTCTATATTACTTTCATACGTATGCGTACTCACCAAATGCCAGATGCCAATAATTATGGTGGCGGTATGAACATGCATATTAAAGCAGCAGGTCCATTCCTTACTTTGACGTTGTTGTAATGGACCCATTTTGAAGCGGATCCTTAGCATAGAAATGCCTGTATTGGCTTTATTGTGAAACTTCTTTTTTTGTTTAGAATGACACTTTTCAACTGCTTTCTAAATACAATGCGATGATACTGAAAAACATATAAAGAAACAAAAAAAGAAACACTCAATTAATATATGCAAATTTAGATCAATGTTATTACTTTAATTTGCCTTTAAAAGGGGGGCAATCTATTTTTGTGTGCAAATTCACACAGCACTAAACCAATTCAACTTAATTACCTTTGCGACAATAAATTTATTAACATTTAAAGTTAATAATTATTATATACTTAAAAGTAGCAGCAGTAACTGCACTATGTTAGGTATTTAACAAATTTTCACTTGCAAAGCAAAAAACGCAATACAGAAAAATATTCCCAGTCTCAAAATACTATACAGAGTTGCATATGCAAAGAGTGGTGCCATAGTATGAAATTCGCATAGGATAATGCCACCTATTCGAGAAACAAGAACGAATGTGAATGTTCTGACAGAATTGTTTAAGCAAAATCTTGAATACATTAATCAATAACGGTCTGAAGAATTAAAGAGAGTTCGTTCAAAGTACCAAACTGACACTTACAACCTGCATTTATTTCTTATGCGGTATATTCTCGCATTGACGTTTGATAACGAATCGAATCGATTACTTTTGTCTCCGAAGCGCAGTTTGAGAGGCACTAAGCGCGATGAAATAAATGTTTTATTAATTTGTATATTAATTATATATAAAAAAAATTGTCAATAGTAAATAAATATACAATAAATGAATTAAAGATATTTAGAATTAAATTTATAAATTTGAAATGAATTAAATACCAAATTAGCGCATGCTACTACGCTTCAACTGCGCACAGAGCAGCAACCCTAACAGCTGATACTAGCCGATTGTTATAACAAAACCAATGTGAATTTGTAGACGGACGGATGCGGATGTTGATTATTGTACGAGCTACTGTGCGCTTAGAATACGTTGTTGTAAGGAAATATAAAGCTGTTTCGTAACTGAAAACGCAAACAAGTGTTGATAACAAACATCTGCTGTGCTAGAAGACGATTGACAAAATGGTTTTATGCAAGGAATATCGGATTTGTATGCCGCTAACAGTGGAAGAGGTTTGTATAAATGTGTAACATATTTCTACATATTACTGCATCCTACCGTGTCTTAATGCATTTGCACTTTGCACCTGCTTTTATTACTTATCACAGTACCGGATTGGTCAGTTGTATATGATTGCAAGGCACAGCTTGGAACAATCTGGCGAAGGTGAAGGCGTTGAAGTTGTAGAGAGTTATGAATGTGATGACCCCGTGCATGGTAAGGGACAATATACAGAGAAACGCATACATTTGTCAAGGTAAGTTTAAAAAAAATATATTTCTGTAAAGAAACTGCTTAGTAAAGTTGAGGAGTGCTATCTAGCATAAATCTTTGAATTTATTATTGCTATATATTAAAACCTCATTTAATTGACTTAATTTACAGTCGCTTACCATATTGGATACAAGCCGTGTGCCCGCGTGTATTTTATGTAACAGAAAAGTCCTGGAATTACTATCCTTTCACAATTACAGGTACTATGTCATTTAAAATTAATTTTCATTATTCCTACACATTTCTCATATACTCTTATAGATTTTTATTTTTAAAACTCACCTCATTACCATGGGTACAACTTAATTAGGCATCATTCATTATCCTTTTATTGGAAAGTTTACTTTTACACGCAGCATATTATTAATGGCTATTTGTAAATGCTAGCCTGTTGTCACACGCGTAGCCACACAAACACACGCATACACATACGCATCAAGTAAATGGTGCACCTTCTTACTTTCTATCCAGCAAGTTATTTATAGCGAGAAAATAATGAATTCTACCCACCCAACCAATTATTGTACTGACGCAACATAAACTCTTTCATATTTATATCATCACACTCAAAGATACGTTAATCGTGGCAAAGTGTGTGCGGCATTAAATTTAATTTCTCTTCTCGCATTTTAATTGCATGTTATGCAAACAATTTACTCTATAATTTAATATGTTTTGGAACTTTGATTGAAATGTGTGAATTGTTTACTTTAATACATCTTAAAATAGTACAGGAATGAGAAATATTTGTGACAGGTTCATAAAGCAGCTGCTGACCATTAAATGCTAGCAACCCATTGCGTGCTGGCTTAAAGTAACTATTGTGATAGTACGTACGTAAAACGCAGCATGAGGTATCACATATGAGGGTAAAAGTAAGCTTGCCATATATGTATGTATAAATATGTATAGTATTTAATATTTCCTGTAATAAGCGCCATAAATATTTTTTCTTCAATAGCAAAGCTGCATTACTGCCACTATATGTGCATAGTGTTTAATGTAACGGTGTGGTATTGCCGCCACATATACATAAATACATACATTTTTTGCTGCCACTTGCAGCGTGTGAATATACACATTTGTAAGCAACTTAATCGGTACGCTTTTCAACGAGTATAGTTATATGTACATATACACAACAACTCAAGTAGCAACTGTTGCTACTATGATTTGTCGATAAAGCGGTCTGACACCTGTCTACATAGAATTTCAAAACATTTGTTTACTGTTAGGCATAAACCGTTCTGAGTATGAAAAAAGTAGCTTATCGCACTGGAATACATTTCAATTAGCCACTATCATTCTCGGATAAGCAATATTACAAAAGTAAAAAAAAAAAAAATGCCTTAACCCAGCATTGCATGGCAAAAAACTTTTCACATGCATTAGTTGCGTTGAGTGTTTACAAAATAATTGATTATTGCCTTCAAATCTATGTAAATGCTCCAACACATTATTGTGTGTGCGTCGATTATTGCCCAGACGGCATCCATTAATTGTTTGAGCATCAGTTATCTATTATCTACACCACCTGCGCTGATATTGTTAGTATCATAATGGCATGCAAATAATTGCCCACGATAAGCTGATGATGATGATAAGCATTCATTGTTGATATTTTGTTTTGCTAAAGAGTTCAGTGAATGAGTTCATTTCGCGCATGGTGTAGTAAGCGTGTAGGCTTTTGAGTACACTCGATCTGAGTGCTTATGTTGAATATAAAAGTAAATACCATGTCCGAAAGGCAAGTGAGTGTACTATGCGTATTAGTTAATGAATTATTATTATTATATATTTTTTTTAAATTAGTCTTTATTAATGAAAAGGTTTTTAGTTCAGTTATTCCTTTTCAACGCGTACCCCAGCCACGCGCGCGCTTTAACTTGATTTATACCAAAAATATTTTTGTGCTACCAATTTTATTTTTGTGTCATTACATTCCTCTGGTTTTTACCTCATATTCAGTTATGTAAGACCGTGCACAAGTTTTTCATTTGCCTGTGTTTTATTCTTTTTTATATATTGACATATATTTCATTTAAAATTATTTTATGTTGACTTTTTGTACTTAAGTTTAATTATTTTGTTTTGTTATTTTATTTGAATTTTTTTTCAATTTAAAAGTGTTTTCTTTCAAATCATTTTATTAAATTTTATATTATTTTATTTTACTTTATTTATAATTATTAAAACTTATTTGATTTAAATTTATTTAATTTAGATTTATTTTTCTTAATTTAATCTTAATTTTATTTAATTTTTTTTTTATTAAACTTTAGTAATTTTTTATTAAAATTAATTTTATTTTATTTTGATGTATTTTTTATTGTTTCATGTTAAGTTGTTTTGTTTTATTTTAAATAAACACTAAATTTTATAATGTTTTATTATATTTGATTTTAGATACATTTTTTATGTGTTATTTAAATGAACTTTTTTTAATTTGTTGTATATTATATTATTTTATTGTTTTTTTTTTTTATTTTTTTTTTCAATTTGAATGTGTCTTATTTAAAATTAAGTTATTAAATATTAAATTATTTTATTTTACTTTATTTATAATTATTAAAATTTATTTTATTTTACTTTACTTTATTTTATTAAACTTTATTTTTTTATTTTATTTATTTTTAATTGAAATTTATTTTATTTTATTTTGCTGTATTTTTAATTGTTTCATGTAACGTTGTTTTATTTTTCTTTAATTTAATTATCACCTAGTTATATTTTATTATATTTTATTTCATTTTAATTTCATTTTTTATATATTATGAAGTATGCTTTTTTTAATTTTTTATATTATATTATTGAGTTTTTTGTTTCACATTTTTTTCATATAATTTTGTATTATTTTATGTTACTTTATTTTGATTTATAAAGAATTATCTAAGTTTATTTAATTTAAATTAATTTTATTTTAATTTATTTTTCTTTTTTTAAATCAATAAATTTTTTGATTTTTTTATTATATTTTATTGAAGCTTATTTTTTATTAAAAATTATTTTATTGTTCCATATTACGTCGTTTTGGTATATTTTAATTTAATAAAGCACTTAATTTTATTTTAATTTAAATTTTAATTTTAATTTATGAATATGAATCTTATTTTAAATTTGGTTTATATTATTATTATTTTTTTCATATTTCTTTATTAAATTTTGTATTAATTTATATATGTTTTAATTCAAAGGAATTTAATTTAAGATAATTTTATTGCATTTTATTTTTCTATATATAATTTAATATTTTTATATTACTTTATTTAATTTTATAAAACATTATTTTTTTATTTAATTTATGTCTTATTAAAAATTATTTTATTTTTCTGAATTTTTTATTGTTTTACTCTATTTAAGTTTTATTTCATTTCATTTTATATTATTTAATTCCATTTTATTTTAGTTTTTTATTTCGTTTTATATTATTTAATTCTATTTTATTTTATTTTACTTTATTTGCTTTACTTTATTTTATTTTATTTTATTTTTTTCATTTTATTTTATTTTATTTTATTTTATTTTATTTTATTTTATTTTATTTTATTTTATTTTATTTTATTTTATTTTATTTTATTTTATATTATTTTATTTCATTTTATTTTATTTTATTTTATTTTATTTTTTTCATTTTATTTTATTTTATTTTATTTTATTTTATTTCATTTTGTTTTATTTTATTTTATTTTGCTTTATTTTGCTTTACTTTATTTTATTTATTTATATTAAATTATTTCATAACATTTTATTTTAATTAATTTAATTTAATTTATATGGTATTATATTTTATTTTCGTTTATTTCGTTTTATGTAAGTTTTTTGTATTACCATATTACTCTCCCCTTTTTATTTTAATTTAAATACATTTTGTTATTTATTTTATATAATGTTATTAAGTTTTGAGTTTTTGTTTTTAGATTAATACAATTCATTTAATTTTTTTCATATATTCTATTATTTTATTGTAATCGAATTTATTTTATTTCATATCGTTTTATTTTATTTGGTTTTTATTTTATTTTATTTAATTTCATTTTCTATTTTTTTTTATTTTACTTTAATATAATTTAATTTTTTATTGAATTTTGGCTTTTTTCATTTTATTCTAAATCATTTATTTTTATATTATTTGTTCTGAGCCTTTTAATTTTTTTATTTAGTTATTTTGTTTCGTTTTATGATTTTATTTATTTATTTATATATTTCATAATTTTATTTAATTTCGAGTTATTATATACATTTTTTTTAATTATATATTTATTTATTTATTTTTTTTTTTTCAATTTTATATTTATTTATTTATTTTTTTTTTTTTCAATTTTATTTCTTTATTTTTACCCACGTATTCTCCCATTTGTATGTATGTAAAAATATCGAAACGTCGCGCTATACCAAATCACCCTCAAAATTTCTCGAACCCTTTTAATTAAAATTTTTTTCAATCAAACACTTTTGCTTCTTTATATTTCATGTTCTTGCACCTGTTGTGTATTGTCTCACGCAAATCATAGAATATACCGTGAGTAATTGACAAAAATACATTGTCTTTCACACCACTCGACCTGAAAATAAATTACTTTTGTTCTATTTATAGTGTTCCTTCGTGCCCAAATTGAATATATCAATCAAAACTAAGTATGAAAATAACAATGGCTCCTCGGAAAATGTAAGTACTTTTAGATATCAAGTTTGTATATATGAATAGGTTTCCATAAATAACAATAACATAACAAAATCCCCTTTTCACAGTGCCTTGACCTCACCGAAGAGGAATTACAAACCCGCCTACTCGAGGACGTTGATATTGCGTTCGATGAATTATCCAATCAGAATCACTATAAAAAAGAAGAAGATCCGAAATTCTTCAAATCCGAGAAAACAGGTGATTGAGAGATTCAATTTTTATGAAAACTGTCTTATAACTGTTTTTTTTTTTTTTTTAAACGTCTCTTCAAATAGGTCGCGGTCCACTCATTGAAGGCTGGCGCAGCACTGATGAGCCCATTATGTGTTCCTATAAAGTGGTGAATGCTTCCTTTGAAGTTTGGGGCTTACAAACAAAAGTCGAGGATTTCATACAGCGTAGCATACGTGACGTCCTACTGCTAGGACATAGACAAGCATTCACGTGGATTGACGAATGGTATGGCATGACGTTGGAAGATGTGCGCGCATTCGAAAGACAAAAGCAAGCTGAGACAAATGAAAAGTTAAAAGGCGCCGGCGATCATTGAGCAGCTTTCATAGATATATAAAGCAAAATTGGTTTAGTTAACTAGGCAAATGCTAAGAAAAAAAAACTTTATTTAGTAGTTAAAAGAGAGGAAAGTAGTGCAAAAAGGCGGGAGTAAACTGTTTTTCGATTCAACAGTTGCCAATGCTAGTCCATAGGGTAATAAATATATTTTCCCGAATACTATTGTATATGGAGAAATATTTAAAAGACACAATAAATGTGTAAAAAGTAAACTCAGGAAATTTGGAAATAATGTTCTAAATAACACATTGTTGAAACACCATATATACATATAGCTACATACATATGTATGTGCTTTTTTCCAAATACAAAAACTCTAGCTTAAGTGCATTGACCTTCTCAGACGCATTTAACGCCGCTTGAAAATTTTTACTTTCTGAACAAAAAATGTTTGAAAGTTGAAAAATATTATTATTTGAGTTATTTTTACTCTTTATTACTTAAATAAAAGAAATGCAACGTATTTCTTTATTAATTATCATACTTAGGAGCATATCTTATATAATACAAGAAAACTTTTATTTTGTAACAACTTTGAAGAAAATTGAAAAAATGTAGAGTATTCATAGATATGAGTGTTATTGTTATCATCCTTAGCACGTAAAAAAAAAACATTACTTTGCAAATTTCTATCAAAATACATAGAAAACAATACATATTTAATTCAATATAAATTATAGCATAATTAAAAGGACACAAATGTAAAGACAAAAATAATTAAATAAAAGGCGAAAGAAAATTTAAGTGTTTTTTGTTGTTAATGTTAATGAGGATATTAATATATATATATTTTTCTTATATATTTAATATTGTTAATCAATTTTACTTCATGCATTTTTATTTAAATTTATTTAAACTTTTTGTCCTATATTTATTACACTTTTTTCTGTTAATTTTTTTATTTTTTTAAGATATTTTTTTATTATTTTATTTATCAATTTTTTTTAATTTTTGAATTTCATTTGATTTTTTGTTTTATTCCAATTTATTTATTTTATTTTATTTACTAAATTAGTAGTTTAATTTAAGTTACTCAATTTTTTTAATTTAATTTAATTTTTTTCACTTTATTTAATTTTTAAATTTGTATTATATTAGTTTATTTATTTCTATTTTTTTATAAAACTTTAGATTATTTTATTTCATTTCATTGCTATTCATTCTAATCATTTAATTTCTGTCATATTTTATTTTTATTTTATTTGATTTAAATTTTTATTAATTTATTTTATATTATTAAATATCGCATTTCGCTTTCAAACAATTTTAAATGTGCCAAAAATTATTTATTTATTATTTTTATTTTATTTTTAAATTTACGCACCACTTCATCGCACCTGCCTGAGTTGTTAATGCAAGAGTTGTATAATATTGTTTTACCAAGTAAATATTTATAATTCCCGCAACCTGTATTCATCCTCAGCGCTTTTATTGAACACATGCACACATTGTAAAAACGATAATAAATTATATAAATATTATTCATCCGTATTTATTTACAACTACGCTTTACGAAATGAATATTCAATAAATGAAAAAAGATAGGTGTTAATGAAAATCAAGGATACACAGTGAAAAATAAGTGGAAACCTATATACATTGGCCTTTTCTAGAGTGCAATAAAGCTATTAAAAATACGTTGACTTACAGACTAGGAAAAAAAAAATAAAAATACAAAATAAACAAAAAAAACACAAATAAAAAAAGAGTGCATAAAATAAGTTAAAGTGAACTAAATTAATATTAAAAATAAATATAAATATAAAATAAATTTAAAAACTTGATAAATAGCAAAAATAACAATAAATTTTAATGTAATAAAAAAAAATTATTTTTACATTTTATTTTTTTTTTATAAACAAAAAATAAATAACTAAATTAAATTAAAAGAAATAAAAAACAAAATATACTAAAATAAATTTGAAAAAATAAATTAATATAAAAAATTTAATTGAATAATTAAAGAAAATTAGAAGAATTATGAAAAAATAAGACGTGAAATGAATTAAAGCAACAAAAAACAAAATTATGTAAATTCCAATAAGTTAGTATAGATAGATAGTATGAAAATTTTAAGTAACTTAAAAAAATTAAATTTACATTAAAAAAAAAAAAATAATTTAAAATAGAATAAAAAGATTTATAATAAATGAAATAATTAAAGCAAACTTAAATATAATAAAATTGAATAAAATTAAAAAAAAAAAACAAAATTTATTAAAAAATAAATAAAACTTTAAAAGATTTCAATAAAACTTTTTAAATGAAAAAATAAGCTTGGTTTAAAAATAGGAAATGAAATGAAGTAAAATAACACAAATTAAAACTATGCAAAATTAAATAAAATATAATTAAATTAAATAAAAAATAAAAAATGTTTTAATTTTTAAATATTTTAAGTAAAACTAAAAAAGTTTTAAATGAAAAATATTAATTTAATTTTGGTTTCTTTTAATTGTTAATAATTTTTTTTTTTGTAATATACATATAAGTTAAAATAGTAAGATTAAATGAATTAATTAATTAATTATAATTAAATGTTAAAAAAAATAAATGCAAAAATATTAAATAAAATATATATGTATAGTAAAATAAAATAAAATTATGTGAGAAGAAATTTAATAAAAATGACATAAATTAAATTAAAAGAAAAATGGATTATAATAGTTGCCTCCTCCAAAAGCAAAATTAAATTTAATTTTGTTAAATAGCGTTTTAATACTTCCCTCCACCTTCGATTTGTGTCTATAAAAAAGGGTTTGAACTTTTAAAATACTGCTTATTTAAGGTGATTTCTTCTAAAGGGCTTATGGCATGCCATAACACAAGCTGCTAGGAACTACTACTATGCAGATTTATATTATATAGATTTATATTATACACTGCATAATACACAGAGTGCCCCACAATTGACGCGAGATTTGTATGTAACTTGTTATTCAATGAAAAATCACTAACTGAATGCTAAAAAGCAATATTTTCCAATTAATTAAAAATTTGCATTAATTTTAGATCACACTAATAATTCACCACACTTAAAATAATTCATGTAAAAATCGAAAATTATTCATTTTCCACAAATACTGCGCGTTTCATTATGTGGACGCAGTAAAAGCTCAAGCATCTTCACACATCGCATGCAGTGTGCCACCTGTATAACGGCAGCAGTCAACATCGCAGCCCACGTAGCTATGCACAACTAACGCGCACGTCAACGCCGCCGCCAGCGCCGACAGCAGCTGCTACACTACAGCATTCGGCATTAGCGTGCCGATGTCCCAGCATTTCCTACCGCTTTAGTACGTTTTGGAGGCGTTGGTAGCAGCGTACATATAATTTGTATTGTATGTATGTGTGTATTGATGCGCTCGCTAACTCGCAAGCTTGTTAGCTGCCGGCTAGCGCTAGCGCTGCTGGCTCATTTTGTTTTTGGCATACTCTCGACTCTAGAATTTGCATTCATATTTTAGCATTCGCCAAGCGAGCGTCGTGTTGAAAGAAATCGCTCATTTTGATAGTGTAGATATGTGTGTACAAAAGTTGGGTGATTGCTAGTTTTTACTTTGCGCGTTCTGTGCGATGATATTCGTAAATCACATATGATTTATTGGCAGTGCTATTTGTTGTTAACATTATTTACCGTTAAAATTCATATCCGCCCGCGTAATTTCTGTGCGGTGTATAAAATAGTGAAACAAATAGCAGATATCCGTTTTGATTGAAGTGTGATCTTTAGCGAAGTAGAATTGAAACGCTCCTGTGCACCTGTACAAGAAATGCCTTCTGTGGCGCCAGCAGCTTTTGTGTGTTCCCCGGGCACGCGTTCACTTTCGCTTGAATGGTGTTCGTCATTGCTGCTGATCATGTTATTGACACTATTCAGGGGATCCGTGCGGTGGGTATGCCAATTTTTCTTCTGTTTGTGTTGTTGTTGTGTTTGTATATTTGTCTAATGTGTTTATGCTGAAATTATATTTTATGTGTCAGCGCCAAAAAAAAATATACATCCTAATAAATGTATTTGTTGGCTTGGCTTGTGTTATCGTTCGCGCTACCCCTCCGATCGATTTATAGAGTACAGTGCATCTCAAATATTTGTGACGTTTTTATTATGAATTGGAAGTGAATCAATTGGACTTTATGGTCTTGTAGTTAATGAAATTTTTATTGCAAAAAAAAAAAGAAAAAATAAAAAAGAAAAACAAATGAAATCAAAATATTAATTGCCACTTAAAATCATAATTATCGATGTCAAGTTAATTTCCGTCAATTTGCTAATAATTTTAAATCAAAATAAATTGAGATTATGAACTCTCGTTTAAACCGATAGTACAATTTTAATTATTAAATTTAAAAGTTTTTTGAATAATGCTAATATTTCTGTAGGTATGTATGATGTGTACATAAGTGTGTTGAAAAAAGTTAGAATATTTTGCTGATAATGCTTATATGTATGTACATATGTTAATAAGCTCGGTTGATCTGATAAGATGGGAAAATCCATCAATTGAGACAATTTTTATTTAAATTGATTAATAACTTATTTGTTCATTTACTACTAAATAATGGACCATTAAGCAGTGTGCATTTTCCCTCACTAATTCAACTTGACTACCAGAAAAAAAACGGAATACTGCACTGATTTCACGGCAGATTTTAAGGTAGTTTTGCCGGATAAACACTTTTGGGACAGAATGATACCTAAAGGACTGATTCGATTCATTTTCATAAAGAGAGGTCAAACTAGTTAACCGATTCGTTGGCGGAGTTTACTCACAGGATCTTAGTATCTGCAAATCCTGGATCATTGTAGTGTTTTTCAGTCAGTATTGGTGGTTATACTTGAGGCTGTCAATTTGCTCAGCTCTCAATGGTGCTCTCAGAAAGCCTTGTCCATATTTTTTCGGCTAGCCAGGCTGCATTTAAAGCGCTGGAATCTGTAACATTAAAATCGAAAACCGTAGAACAACGTCGCAGATCACTTAAGGTTTGGCTAAGTAGTTCTTTTTGAACCTGATATGCCTATTTGGACACAGTAACATACTAGTTAATGAGAAACTTCCACTTTCGTCATTATGGAAGAGTTTGGGCATGCCACTCTCCACTTGTAAGTTCAATATAAAAGAGTTCTCCATTAAGAATGCAAACTCAAGATGAAGACGTCTCAATGCGTGTAATGTGACAAGAACATTATCGACAAAATGGAACGAAAGAAAGTCACGTGACCTTATCGACCTAAAAAGATTGAAGATATCTACAGTTTTAGATCTGCTTACCGGGCATATTCTATTGGGCAGACACACAGAGAGGTTAGACGTACTATCTAATGTATTTTTACAGAAGTTGCAGACATACAGAGCCACGGTAAAACTTAAGGCACTTTCTTTGCGAATGCCCCGCGCTATGGAGGAGTAGGTGGTAGTCTCTAACCAACCCTTAGAGGTCTGAGCGATATAGCGTAGGCTACGCTGCGACTACTAAGTTTTGCAAACTGCACACGTTGGTACAATTAGCGGTTGGGGGTCATGAGGATCCTCAGTGGTATCACAATGTGCTCGTCTGCGGTCTAGCTAGGCTGGCAGCTACTTGAATCAACCAACTAATTCATCTTACTTTTTTTCATTTAATGGACTGAATATCAACGAACAGTAAAAACTGTTTAACACAGCAAATGGTCGTAAGAATTTCATTATTGTATGGATATGGTATTTGTATCGTGTAAGATATAATATGGCAATCAGCCGGAAACCTGGATAATCACAAAAGTATTTTTTCAGCGTTTTGTAGTCTTCTGTGGACGCTCTGAACTCAGCTGTTTCTACTTTGCTTAGCTTATGGAGATAATCTGTCAGAGGTAGATGTTCCGCCAATCACATTATTTTAGAGTCTCTTTTTGAATGATAGTAAGATTTTGGGCTATCTACAATCTATGATACTTCACAATAATTGAGTGGTACACCCTATATTGGAAGGGATTGTCCACGACCTTAAGTATTGCTCCATTGTTCACTGCTTTGGATAACATTTGTTGGCGATGGAGCGTCAGATGTAGTCCGGCTACCGCAAGCCAGTTCGTCCACCTTTTAATTGTCGTCTATATATCCGTGTGACCTGAGGTTCACTTCTTACATATTCTAAGGCTTCGGACTATGTGTTGAGCCCTGTCATTGACTTAATTATTGCTTGGCTGTCTAGCAAAAACGTAATGCCTTTGGATATTGGAGTGGTTGTAGAAAACCCATGCTCCTGTACTTGTCGCGCTTTAAGTTTAATCAATGTAGATACGATATAGATCTTTATTCCTGAAGGGCTTCCGTCCATTTTATTCTGGTTGGAAAAGAGTTGGCGGCATACACCCGACAGAAGATTGGCGTTTCTCGGACTGAGATTCATGCGGTGGCGTGAAAAAGCCATCAGGCGTACGGAGGCGGCTTAGTATAAACTGTAGGTCCCTACCTCCATTTGTTGGGAAAACATCAAGGCGCAAAACAAAAATTTAGAGGAGGAGCTCGGCCGAAAATCGCTTCAGCGCTGACAAAGCGCCAATTATATATTATATATACATATATGTAAAAGAATTTCATATATATAAATAAAAAAATGTTTTTTTTTTTTTCATTTAAAATTCTTAAGTTAAACTATTTTATGCATCAGAAACGTGCACGATCATTTTTCTGTTGTTTTCTTAAGCAATCGTTTTTTTTTTGTTTTTGTTTTCGTATTTGGTTTGGATGCAGAAATAATATGAAATTGGCTTTTGCACCTGTGATCTATTTAATGTTGTACTAAAGATTTGTATTTAATGCATATAAAAATGTGATGGGAATAAGAAAAACATATATACATACATATGTATTTATAGGCATACATATATTTTTTCAAATAAATATTTATCAATGAAATGAAAACAAGAGAAAAGAAACTAAAAGGCTTAGCAGCAAATAAAATATATTTAATACACAAAAAATCAGTATTTATACGAAGTTTAATAAAAATATTATTTATTTAATTAATTTTAATTTAGTTAATTAATTTTTTTTTATTAATTTTTTTATTATTATTTTTTTTTTATTCACTATTTTAACTTCAACTTACTTTCGAAAACGTTTAAAAATATTTTTTTAGTCAAACTTAAATTCACACAAAAATTTACTAATTAATTTTTTTATTAATTTTTTTTTCTATTCACTATTTTTACTTCAACTTACTTTCGAAAACGTTTAAAAATATTTTTTTAGTCAAACTTAAATTCACACAAAAATTTACTAATTAATTTTTTGCAAAAAAAAAACAACAACAAAAATATTTAATAATATTTTATAGCGCTATCAATAAAAATAAATAGCACATTTTACCGTCTTTGACTAGTTTTATGGCATAATCTACTATTTAGCCGTATTTCAATCTCATCAATTTATTATTTGTATATCTCAGATTAATTTTCTCCACTCTTTACCTTCACATACACAGCTTGAGGTAACATTTATTATCGAGTCTATTATTTCCTGAATTTCTTTATCTTTATCATTATAACTACTTATAAATGTCAAAACTGACGTCGGGGCGCATTAATAAAAGACTTGAGGACATGCTAATCGTTTTACGATATTTATTAAACTTACATACGTATATATAATACATACAAAACGACAGTGGAAAAAACGGTCGTTAATGTCATTCACTCTGTGATATCGACAAGCAATAATCTCTCAACAAGATCTTTCACTAAAAGCCAGTATAATATCTATGTACACACTTCGGGAAACATATATATATATACATATATTATACAAATATTTGTATATATATAATATAACAATAATCTAACTATAGAAATCTGGGCACGTGTCATTATTTTTCATTTTTTAAATCTTTGAGTATTATTTTAAATATCTATTTAAATGGTATATAACAGCTGATAGTGTATTTAAAATATAAAAATTAAATATAATTTTATAAAAACATGCAAAAATTTATAAAATCTTTAATTCTCAAGAGTGTGCTTCTTGCAAGCGGCCGAAATTCGAATACATTTTCATAAGAAGAACATAGAATGGTATATATGTATGTATTTATGTACAATATGTATAGAACGATATTATGTTATTTGTTTTGTACCGCGTGAAGTTATGTTATTTTCAATATATTCGTCTAACTTACAAACATACATATGTATATACTTTAAACTAAATTTAATGACACAACTGTTTTAGTTTAAAAATGCCGTAAAATATATTATTTCTAAAACTTTCCCTCTAGATTTCAGTCGTAGTTCTGTTAATGAAATCAGCAATAAAAATTATATAATTTTTGTTTAGTTTATATCTGTGAATATTTAGTAACGAAAGTTTTATTACTTTCTTATTTTATTTTATTTGATTTAATTTATTATAATTTAATTTATCTTTATGTTCTTTTATTTACATTAATTTAGTTGTATAATTTAATTTAATGTAATTTTATTTCAATTAATTGATTTGCTTTGATTTTATTTAATTCAACATAATTGTATTTTACACTATTTTGTTTTATTTTACTTTATTTAAGATAATTTAATTTAATTTAATTTAATATTATATAATTTAATTTAATTTGATATGATTTTATTTTATTTTAATTGATTTTATTTTATTCAATTTAATTTAATTTTATTTTTTATTATTTTGTTATACTTTTTTATTTTAATTCTTTTTATTCGAGTTTTGTTTTTTTTTGGTTTAATTGTGTTTAAATTATTTTATTATATCTTATATTAATTTATTTGTTTTATATCAACATCCCCATTTCGTTCGGAATATGACGTGTCATGATTGGGAAGCTCTGTTCAGCTACAGTAAAAAGTAATAATTTATAAACAGCTGAAATTTTGGAATTAAAGAATTTTAAATTTTAATT